GGGATGAAGCCTTGTCTCGACAGTTTGTCGTATTCAATAATATTCTATTCAAGTATGGTAGAGTCGAGAATTCGTTTTTATTGTATATTCCCGAGGAACTAGTGATCACCTGTATTAGAGGATATCATGAGGCCATCGGTCATTTTGGACTTTATAAAACCCATTCTGCAATGAAGGACGAGGTATATTTTGCAAATATGCAACGTCGAGTGAAAAAAGTTATAAAATCTTGCGATATCTGTCAAAAATCTAAAATTTCAATATTACCAAAGCCACCTCAACAACAAATTTTACCTACTTCTAAGGACGATTTAATCGCGATAGATTGTTTAGGTCCATTAATCCGAAGTCGTGGGGGTGTCACGTATATTTTGGTCGTGTTTAACGTTTTCACAAAACATGTAAAGCTCTATCCTTTGAAACGAGCGACTACCAGGGCCCTTTTGAATCGTATGATCTCCGATTATCTACCAACATTCGGTCCAATTCGAAGAATACTTCACGATAATGCTACCCAGTTCACCGCGAAACTTTGGCGGGAAACCTTTGAAGATCGTGGTATAAACTTAGTGTATATTTCTGTTAGACATGCTGCCGCGAATCCGAGCGAACGATGTATGCGCGAGATAGGTAGGATTATGCGAGCCTTCTGTTCCGAACATCACGCGAAATGGGCAGTGGAGTTGAAACTTTTTGAAGAATTCTTAAATTCTGTGGTTCACGAGACGACAGGCTTTACTCCCAATGAGTTGCAGTTGGGGTTAGAAAAACCAAAATTCTTACCAGTTAGGGTGCAGCCACCAGATTACCCGAAAACTCTAGAACACGGCGAGAAGCTAATACTTGCCGAAGCTTCACTGCGTTCCAAAGCTGCACGTCGCGCCATTCTACATCCGGGGCGTCCGTATGAAAAATTCCAACCGGCTGATAAAGTCCTCTTAAAGGCAAACAATATATCTTCGACTGTAAAGGCTGAAACCAAAAAATTATTATTATTGTTTGAAGGTCCTTTTTCAGTTAAAAAACGTATACGGGAAGATACTTACATTTTATGTCAGTTAGATGGTCGCGAGAGGGGTATGTTCCACGCGAGCCATTTGAAAAAATATTTTGAGCCGCCATAGATTGTTTTCAGGTGGTGAGTTCTGTACTTCGTACCTTCGCTCAAGGGAGGGGGGTGGAGATGTAACAAATCAATGTCGCCGCCCATGCTCTCTTTTAAATATAATAATAATTATCAAATATTCTTCGGGAGGCTAGGCAACCAACTATTCATTCACACAGATTCAAAATCCGTGTGCGCGCCTAGGTCAGTTGTTGTGGAGAGGGGATTTTCTGAAATGGCTTGCGCTGGTCATTTCACTCTCGAACGGGCAGTTTTCTCAACCAAGTGAATAATAATTTAACATCCACGTTGATCGAACCCAAATTCTGTGTTTTTGGTTTCCTATGTGCCCAATGTTCCTCTGGAACATCTTGGCCTGTGCCTGCATATGATATTTAGGTGGGTAAAACTCTTTTATATTATTTTATGATTTGTTGACCGACCTTTCAGGTCACATGTTAGTTGTACCTACTTTTCTTTGCTCATTTGTAATTTAATCGCCCATTATATCAAGTGATAGACTGTCCTGGTGCTCATTAGTGCATATGATATTTAGGTTTTCGACGTTCCTCTCAACCCGAGATCTTGGTGAACTTTTGAAGTGAATAAATAGTCTCCTGAACCATCCATGTTTTAATCAGTAAACCCACCAAACCCCTGAGACCGTTACATATGTAACATTTGTGTAGAATGATGTATATGAACTACGTGAGGTGTGAAGGTTATATGTGAAATATTTTTATTTGTAATTATGCGAAATGTAGACGAGAGACGTACTCATAGGCATATTTCCAAGAACTCTGATGTGTAGAAATGGAGCTCTCATCTTCATTCTTCAGTAGTTATGCTAAATGACAATAAACGTAAAAAACAATATTTATGTGAGCGAAATTATGCAATCAGAATATGAATAAAAACCTGAGGAATCGAAAACTTTGATACCTCAACGAATCCAAGGGTTTTTATCTTCTACGTCACAAAAGTTTGTAAGCAAGCCATTCATTTATCCTAACCTAAGCTGGCCACATCTACAACCAATATAACTTGTACGTGAGTCGTTGGTTGGATGCAGTTGCATAGTATTATATGTATATCATCTTGTCGAAGAGAGGAATTATGAGTTCGTAGAAAATGTAAAGTATGTAACGCGTTTATAAACTCTTCTAGATACTCGTTTATTGAACACTCGCTCCGCTCTGCTGCGCTCGTGCTTGAAATACTCCTTACTAAAAGGACGTTTATAACACTAGTTACATGCTCTCTCACGTTACTATTGAAATCTGAACAAAAAATCTGCGCCTATCTATACTCATAATTATCTGATTCGTAATTATTTCATTTGCTCTTTCGTTCCGGAATCGGATCGTTAATAGTGATATTCTTTCATTCTGAACCAACTGACACATTTCACTTGAACTGAACTGAATACTTTGACATGCATTGTACATAAATACATAATGAACGTCATTCGAAAGAACGATTCAGTTAAGTTCTAGTGATATATTTCAGTTAGTTCAGAATGAAAGAATATTAATAAAAGCAGCAAATACATGATATTGGATACAAAAAGAGGAAGTTCTCTCAAAATTATTGTTATTCTATATTTAATGTGGGTCGCCGGTGGTTGGCTATGAGAACATACACAGATATCTTCTGGTATATAGTATACCAACATTTTTACATCATGAGATTCGCGAGGGGGGGCCATGGCTCCCATGTCTTCCCTGGATCCGCCCCTGCTAGAGTATAATCCATAGTTTACCCGGTATATGGAATGCTTATTAGGTGAATGTAGGCTGTATGTTGAATGTGTGTGAAATGATCATGAAAATGCAATTAGTATAGTAGGTATATTTTAATGGAGAATTGTGTAAATGAAATGAATGTAGCATGTTTGTCCAATACATTAAAAATGTATGATGCAAATGTATAGAATAAATTCATTTCAAAACAAGACGACTTTCGAAAAAAAAACCAAAAACTAGAGTTTAGAACTTTTTTTTCGACGTATTTTTTTAACTAGACGACCCTTCGATGTTCAATTCTCAGTAGCAGACCTCTGCAAGATTCAATTAATCACATGATAATCCATTTTAATTTCAATCTTCTTATGCAACATTTTGACTGTTGAATAGACGATCGGTAGACCTCTCAATCAAGGTGTCACATGACCCCAGTTTGTATTTGAAAAGATCGTCCATTACGTCTTTACTCCAACACCGGTGACGTAACATCTCTCATATGGATATCATGAGATGAGGCTTCAGAAATTAAAACTCACGTGTTTTTGGAATTTTTTCAAATGTCGCCATTTCTGAAATAATGAATTTATTCCATACATTTGCATCATACTGTACTATATGGAATGTATATAGGTGTAATAATTGTAAAATAGGTACGAAATAGTATGTAAAATATATGTTGAAGGTATGTAAATGTATGCGAAAGATATGGATAATAAATTAAATATATGTGAAATATATGCAAAATATATGTAAAATATACAGTGTGTGTGATTTCGAACCGCAACACCTTCCAAATTCAGAACCCTTCGACCGATTTTCAGAAACAAAAATTGAATGATATGCTACCCAACGAGCTCTGTTCGAAAATGTGGACAAATTCGATATATTCAGATTTTCAAGGTCTACTTTCAGGCATAGCTTAAATACTTGTATACGAAATTTGAACGCAAAATCTCATATAGGATGTTAGTTATTCAATGGCAAATTTTGATATTTTTGATTTTTCGATTCACCCTGTATCAAAATCTAAGGAGTTGATATAACGGGTGAAGTAGTTATTCAATAGAGGAACACATGGAATACAAACGTACGAAATATTATCGCTGTAACTTCTACAGAAAGATCTCTCTAGGAGTCTAGATCAACCAAAAATCAATAAAACTAAAGTTGAGATTTATCATTCTGAAAATTCAAGTAAACCGTATTTCACACACTACACCACACAGTCACTCTGAAAGTCCTCTTGTTCGATAAAGAGCTGTCGAATATAACACAATTAGAATGACAGACAAATGACTGCTATATAGGAGATATATACTGATGTTTGATGTGATCATGATAATATACCAATTTTGGCGAAATGAAATGAAAATTTGAAATAACAAGGAAAATGTTCATGTAGGTATAGAGAATATTTCCCCGGATTAGTCATCATTATCTATATCTCCTAGAAAAAAGTTATGGATCATAATAAAAAAATTCGATTTCAATTTCATTAAATATTGGTTGACCTAGAGAGATCTTTCTGTAGAAGTTATATACAGCGATGAAACTTCGTACCTATGTATTCGATGTGTTTCTCTATTGAATTACTACTTCACTGGTTATATCAACTCCTTAGATTTTGATACAGGGTGAATTGAAAAATCAAAAATATCAGAATTCGCCATTGAATATCTCACACCCTATATTTGCCTAAATTGCCTAATAGCCGTTTTAGAAATTTTGACCCTTTCAACAAACAAAAGTAGGCCCTGAAAATCTGAATATTTCAAATTTGTCCACATTTTCGAATAGAGCTCGTTGAGTGCTATAATATGGAATTTTCGTTTTCGAAAATCGGTCGACGGGTTCCAAATTAGGAGGGTGTTGTGAAATATATGTAAAATATGTGTGAATATATGTAGAATATATGTAAAATATATGTAAAATATATGTAAAATATATGTAAAATATATGTCAAATATATGTAAAATATATGTAAAATATATGTAAAATATATGTAAAATATATGTAAAATATATGTAAAATATATGTAAAATATATGTAAAATATATGTGAAGTATATGTAAAATATATGTAAAATATATGTAAAATATATGTAAAATATATGTAAACGTTCATGTGAAGACAATTTCCGCACGACTCACCTACATCGGCTTGCGTCACGCCCAACTTGATCCGGCGCTGCTTGAACCGCTCGGCGAACGCCTCGAGCTCCCGCGGATCCGTGTCAGCGTCGGGATGCAGGCCCGCCACAGCCGCCGCGGCCGCCGCCGCTGCCATGGCAGGGTGGTGGGCGCCGGGGTGGCCGCCGTGGTGATGGCCGGGATGGTGGCCGGGTGCGCCGTGTCCGGAGAGCGGGCCGCCGTGGTGGTGGTGGTGGTTGATGACGTGGTTCATGCCGTAGCCGTGCATGTGCGAGGGGTTGTCCGCCATGGGGGTGAGCGTGGTCATGGTGGAGGAGTTGATGGGGTCGAGCATCTCGAGGCCGTCCATGTGGCCCATCTGCAAGAGAGGTGTAATGATAATAGTTGACTATCTATACTAATATTATACAGGGTGTATCTAAATAACACCGAAAAAATCCAAGGGGTGATATTCCTTGTGATATTTTAGGAAATAAAGTTCATATAAACTTGAAGAGGAAAGATTTGTTTGTTTGTATTGGATAGGCTTGGAAACTACTAAACCGATTTGAAAAATTATTTCACCATTAGAAGCCGACATTATCCCTCATGAACATGGTGTAATGATAGTCCTTAGAGGGGCTTTAGAAACATCATCAGGAAGGTAGGAGTACAACGGTCATCCTGTATCCCAGATTGTTCTCTAACATCCCAATGATTTCTACATGTACCAGTCTATTTCCGAACACTCAATATATGTCAATATAATAGAGAGAGAGGTATTTCTTGAATGAAGAAATATACTGTTTATGTTGAGCAAATTCATATCAAGAAATTTCAGGAAATGAAGCAAACAAGCCAATTGATTTGAGACAAGTGTATATTGCTCCATTCAAATAAAAAATTCTTGTACGAAGCAATTTACTTTCAAGAAAATGGATTTGTTTGATTGAAGAAATCCTTTTTATCTGTGTATACAGGGCATATACCACGAAGAACGTATACACTATCTTTATACCAATCGTGAGAATCCAGTTCCAAGAAATTTATGAGAATGTACATGCATCATTCCCAAGTAATTAAAAGAAAATGGTAAATTTTTATTCAAAATAACGAAACTATTTGTATAAAATATGTCAGAAAACTATATAAACATATCGACTCAGCTCGTCGTGGAAGACCATCATGTACATTTGACTCTGAAACAACCTGTATAAATGGGAGAAATTAAAATTTCCTGGATTTTGCTGTCGCCCCATTAGCTCCAACCCTCTTTTCTTTATTGGCCTGCCAAAAGGATTAAAAATACCTACTTTTAGTAGCTCAACATAACTCCGAGATAATTAGGAGCAGCTTACCCTCTCATTGTAACAAACAAGGGATCAGAGAAATAGCGCATGGCACTTTGTAGAGAATTTGCATACACCGAGATATTCTCCTTTCGGCTGGATTTCAATAAAAGAGGGATTACTTTACAAGGTTCTGACTAGAAATAGGTACAATTGTCGCTTCAGGAATTTTATAACTAACAAATTGTAATATTGCCGTTGTCTTTTTTCACTTCCACGTGAGTACATAACTTTGGTCGATTCGTAGTCATACAAAAAATATTTATCTTTATAGAAATTTCTTCAATAATGCTGCTGATGATGGACTATTGATAGTCCGAAACATGTCCAGATGTTCCTGATATTCAATCCACTTTGAGAGAATATGGACTTCTACCATATAATAACCAACATCTTACTGAAATATTTTAGTATTAGAAGGTGATGAATAAAATTGGGACAACGACGTAGAAACCTCAGTAGCTATTTTACCTACTATACAGTGGGTATCAGCCATATTAGCTCAGTAAAGCGGTAACGATTAGGACCCAATCCGGGAAAAAAATCAAGTAGTCGGTTTCTCTGTGTTTTTATATGTTATTGGAGGTGCTGAATTCGAATCTGGATTTTGCAAAAAAAAATTTCCTGGAGCGTTCCGAAATATTGGAAAAAAACGAGCGAAATTTTCGCATTATTTTCTGTTTTTTGCCGTAACTCGGAAATCATACATTTTATCGAAAAGACCGCCCCATAAAGAGTTGAAGTATATAAAATTTCCTAGATAAACTTGTTCTTGCTTATGAATGTAGGACTGAAGGGTGCGGAGATAGAGCCAGTTGAAAATTGACCAAATTTGGGTACTTTTCAGAAATAGTGTTTCTCGTCGGTTTTCGCAGATAATTCATATTTTACGTATTACTCAGAGACAGAGCATCAAATTTTCTATCGAGCTCATGTAAATTTCGTCATTATGAAAAAAAATAAACGGCTGTTAGAGCGCTCGGACTTGGAGACGTCTTTTAGTCGTAGATGCGACACTCATGTTCATCCTTTCAACTTATATGATTTGGATCATATGAACCTATATTCAATAAAGCTCTAAAACTATAAATAGGTCATTATTTTGCTTTTGTATTCTGTGGAGTGTGGGACAAAAAAATTAAAATTCTGTAAGGTGATGGAATTATAGTTATTATAATTATTGCGATACAACAATTCCAAATGCTATAGGGTATTCTTTGAACATTTTGATGAAAAACTGCTAAACTCTTCAAACTATCAAAATTACCTATTTTGTGATGAATAAGTATCAGAATCGATTCTCGCTCATCTGGGTTCCAAGGCGTCAAGGAAATGAGGCAGCTGATCGCCTAGCAAAAAAGTGCAGGGCTCACATTTCATTTTTCTGTGAGACAAGCAAATGCTACCTTATCACAGAGCTCAGAAAATGAGAATGAAGTGAAAAATCCTACTACTCCAGGTAAACGAGAAGGAAAGAGTTCTTCAACAATTCGTAAGCTAGTGAGTCTCAGCAAACAAAAGCTAACGCACTACCCTCTGAGCTATTACTAAAAAAAATGGGTCTAGAGCCCTAGAGGAGACTGACACTAAACCACGGAGAACCTTTGTTCATGTAATGTACCAGTCCGCCAAATGCTGACTACCCTAGAACAGGTCTGTTGAGGCGGAAAATATAATCGTCAAGAAAATATTAGGCTTTATTAGAAGTCTAGGGTTATAGAAAGCAATTAATCAGATGAGAGTGATCCTATAATCTAGAATCTAATCGTCACTACATCGTCGTTTGGCAGGGGGCTGGTACCCTGAAGGACCCGGTTCTGTGGATGGTGGTGCAGGTGGAGTAAATCGTGTTTATTCCAGGGTACCCCCATCCTGCATACGATGGTTTGGAAGAGAAATTGATAGACATTACACATCGCTAGGACTCTTCCACATCAGGCAGTATAGTGCGTTTCTTCGAGGAATGCGTAGATTTGGAATTATCTGCGAAAACCGACGAGAAACGCTATTTTTCGAAAAGTACACAAATTTGGTCAATTTTCAACTGGCTGTATCTCCGCACTCGTTAGTCCTACATTCATAATTGATGACAATTATATTCAGGAAATTTTATCAACTTCAACTTTCTATGGAAGGGTCTCTCCGATATAACATATAATTTCCGAGTTGCGGTCAAAAAACCGAAAAAGTCCGAAAATTTTGCAGTTTTTTGCGAATATCTCGGAACGCTCCAGAGGTAATTTTGTTTGCAAAATTCAGATTTGAATTCAGCACCTCCAAAAACATATGAAACCACAGAGAAACCGACTACTTCATTGAACATATTTATAAAAAAAACTTTCATTATATTCATCAAGTCTACGAATTGAAGAAAGAAAAACTCATAGTTCAATAATAATGATGATTAAGTTATCTTCTATTATACATTTTCAACCACCCCATTCTATTTATGAACGGTGTTACGTGATCTCTATATCTAAGACCATAAATGAATCTTACACACGCACTTTGGACTTTTTGAATTCTAGCCGACTGCATCGTATCAAGACAGGGGCCATAAACAATATCACAGTAATTAAAAATAGATAATATCAGTGTATCACACAAGGTAATCTTCAAAGTTCTACTAAGGAAATGCCTGTTTGAGTACAGACCTTTCATGATACAGTATGCACGCTGGACAAGATTACTTACATGACTGGAAAATTTCAAATTATTATCAATAGTCAAACCAAGACATTTAATTTTATCACTGTAGCTGATTTTATCGCCTTCCACTACTACTGAAATATTCTCCATAGCCTTCTGTCGATCTTCATTATTACCAAATATCATGGAAGAGTACTTGGCTGGATTAATATTAAGACAGTGTTTTTTTTTTGAAAATGTGACCAATTCTCTTCATTAAGTAATAACTCCTGTGTTAAAATAGTATTTATATTGGCCGAGTAGTAAAAATTTGTGTCATCGGCATAAGTATGCATTTGAAATTTATTCAGTAGACTTTTGAAATCAGCAGTATAAAGGATAAAGAGTAGTGGAAACAGAACTGACTCTGCACGGAGCGCCGTGCCAAACTTTCATATATCTTGAATTTTTTCCAAGTGAAAATAACAGTTGATTGGACTATATGGAATAAACTCGATAATGAGACTTAGACATCTACTATGAAGTTATGAAATGAGTCATAATAGGAAACTATATTACTGGATATAGGACTGACAATATAGTTGTACACCCGGTAATAACCATCAATATTTGATTTTGCATGACACAAGTACTAAAAAAAATAAATTACTCTTTTCATGTTAGCCGGAAGGTCATTTCGTCCAGCCCCAGCCCAACGCGATAGATAGGCACGATATCGCGTATGCAGCCGTAGAATTCCAATGATTCAGCCGTGGGTCCCCGCAGGGCCGTAATTCATCATTAGGCCTCACAATGGTGTAAAGTGGTCATTTGATGTGTAGAACACGGCCGGGGGAGGCGGATGGCGTCCCCCGGGACCCACCCCAGCACACCTCCGGGAAATGTTTTGCGTCAGAAGTAGTGCACACACGGCGACGTGGTAATGTATGTGGGGCAGGCGTTTTTCGATTGCGGCCGCGGCCCCACTATCCGAAATTGCTATCGTTCGTGGCGTGTGGAATTTGCCTCGGAACGAGATAACAAGGTATCACATTCTAGGCGAATCTATGGAATATTTGAAATGAAAACCCTGAAAAAGGTAATTTTGACGCAATAGCACGGTAATTAAAATTCAGACGTAGAGCCGAAACCATTATTGAACATTATTTGATTTTGGCAGAAAAAATAACGAATCGAAATGCGAATTCTCATAGATGAATCATTGGAAGCACCTAATGTAATCTGATATTCAATACAAACGAAAGAACGTGGGGAAGTGAGAAGGAAAGAAATTAATAAAAAAGATAAATAAATAAGTTGATGAATAAATAATTAAAGTGAGAAGGAAAAAATTAATAAATTTTAATTATTTATTAATTTAAAGAAGGAAAGA